CTCCAGAGCCATCTGGGTCCAGTGGGAATGGTGAGGTAGCACTCTCTTGGATATCACTGTCTGGTATAGCTTCCCATTTCTCTCAGAGTTTCTTCTTTGTGACTCTGATTACTAAACTTCTATGAGAAATAGCAAGAAGTATGGTAAGGCCGTGGTAGCCTAGTGGTTGTACATGGTTCTGCAGTCAGTTTCTGTGATGTTCTGGGGCATATATACACATGTACATATATCTGCTTTTACTACGTCTAGATAAATAGATAGATAGACAGACAGATAGATACAAGTAGGAGCAGGATACTTGTTGATATGAAAAGCCAATATTCTCAAACCACCAAAGGTACAATCCTTGTTCTTAGAAAAGACATCTACTAGACCAGTTGATAAAATTTAATTGACAATTTTTACAACATTAATTAGTATGTTAGTCAATGTTTCCCTGTTTCATCCATCCCTGATTTGGGTATCAGGACTATATTTGGGTCACAAAGTTTAGTAGAGTGCCTTCCTTCTCTATTATTGGAAACAATTTTTTCAACAAAGTTACTAATTATATTACACACACACACACTTTCCCCCTCAATTAAATCTATTCTTGTAATTATTATTATTATTATTTTTTTTGCTTAGGCAATTGGGGTTAAGTGACTTGACCAGGGTCACACAGCTAGTAAGTGTCAAGTGTCTGAAGCTAGATTTGAACTCATGTCCCCCTGACTCCAAAGCCAAAGCTCTATCCACTGCACCACCTAGCTGCCCCTATCCTTGTAATTTTTATCAATGACTTGTGTATCACATTTTCAGATGGCACAAAGCTGGGTGGAATTGTTAACACTTTTGATGGCAGAATCAGGATGTAAAGAAGATCTTTACAGTTACAGGAATCAGCCAATTATAGCCAGGGGGACAATATAAGAATATAATAAAATATAAGAACCCTTGTTCTAAGAAAACATTTGTCCACTAGACCACTAGATAAATAGCTCACAGGCAGCTAAAAAAGGGCTAAAAAGGGCTACAGTTAAATAAATCTGGGTCCAAGAACAGGCACAGGTGTGGGCCTGCTGCAGGAAAATAAGCCAGACAATGTCAAAGGGTAGGAACACCCCACAGCCACATGTTTTCCTCAGCTTCTGACTGAATAAACTAATATTCTATGGGTGTTTTAGCCACAGCCCTTCTCTGCCCAAACTCCAAAATCCCCCAACCCATACCCATTTAGTTTAATAAGTGGGAACAAATAGCTCAGGCAGCAGCACTGAGAGAATATAGAAAGGGTATTGGTTTTTCTTCTCACTTATATTTACAGGCCAGGCCCTCACACTTGCTAATATGCCCAGGTCCACTTATGTATGTGTGAATGAGACTAAATGAGGGTATAGCTTTACCTGTGACCAAGAGGATTACAACACTCTTCATTTTATTTTTATTTGAGTTTGCGAAGAGAATACATAGGAGTGGTGAGAGTGAAGAGGAGTCTTATTTTTATAGAACTCTCTTGGTTCTAAGACGCAATAGGGATCATGGGTAATGTCAATATGAGCAATTCTGGTTGTAGTACATAGGTTGGACAATCAGTGGTGTTGGCTAGGGGTTTTATAGGCTCCAGGTCACTGGACTGCAAGGAGAAAAGCACTATGGAAAGTTCAAAATAATAACCTTATGAAACTAGATAAAAACAGAGCATAAAGGTTGGTGGCCAGGGCCATAAACTCTGAAATAGAATCTGAAAGTCAACAGGGCAATGTCTCATGGTTAGAAGAGAACTCTCTGGAGCTTTGGGTCTTGGTAGTCGGGAGTGGCTGCTGGCAATGATTGCTCTGACAGCTGCCTCTACTGCCTATTAAAATATTGCAATTCAGTCAACTTTCTCCAGGCTGTCCCAATGGGCCAGTTATTATGAATTCAAAGGGCCCTACTTACCTTGGTGACCTTGGAAATTTAGCATAAGAATTTCATTGTAAGACCTCTGCTACTTGCCATTTGTATGGACTTTACAAAGCAGGTCACTTAACATCCCCGGATCTCTGTCAATGAGCATGAGAAAGTTATTTGACCATCTTATTTATGAAATTAAGATAATAATACCCATAGTACTGATGTCACAGGGTGGTTGTGATGATCAAATGAGAAAATGTATACAATGCACTTTCCAATAATTAAACTACATACCTGTAAATTATTATCGTTCTGGTGACTATCATCCTTATCCAAAAAGTATAAGAGGATTTGAGTAACCAAGGAGCCTGGCACCCAGATCCTCAGCCTTTTCATCACTATAGTCATCCATTGAGATTGGGTAACCTGACTCTTGGGGCTGGATCATAGGGAACCTAACAAATATAAAAGTACTTTTTTTTAACCATTCAACTTTACATGTTCTAACAGTGTGCCAACTAAGGTTAATTCCCTTCTCTCAAATTCTTGTCTTAATTAAGAAATATTTATTGCACTTCTACAATATGTGAAAGATGGTCGGATTGTAGAGTTGCAATGAAATGAAAAGTTAGTGTTGTATTGTAAAAAGAACACTGGATTTGAAATTAACAGACTTTCCTTCAGAATCCCACATCTGTTACTTATTAGCCTGCTGAACATGGAAAGAACATGGCATCAGAAGAACTGCTTCTTGCAGTTGCTACCTATGTGATTCTGGGCAAATCATTTCACCTCTCCGGGTCTTAATTTCTTCATATACCAAATAAAGGGATTGTCCTAGTCGACTTAAGGGCCTTTCAGCTCTAAGTTCTATGACTATGACAGGGTCCCTATCTTTAATACAATATCTTAACATCTCAACTTAAAGTTCACAACTCCAGGTCGGCAGGAGGAAATATCATGAGCCAGGGAAAAACCATGGCTTCGTAACGCAGAGCTTAAATAATGACAAAATTTCAGAGTTAGGAAGAACCTCAATAGTGATCTAGTACAATCCATACCTGAAGAGGCAAGTCTATACACACACACACACACACACACACACACACACATATATATGTATATATGTAAAATTATTCTATGTGTATAGAATAATTTTACATATATATCTGTGTCTAATGGTAGTCATCTCTAGGGTGGGGGGAAGGGAAGAAAAAAATTTACATGACAACTGGAGCGAATAGAAAGTTGTACACGTCAGATTTGCAGTTTCATGTGCAGTTGTCTTTTTTATTGTACTATCTTATGGAAAGACTTACTTTGTTCTGTGAATTCAAATAAAATAAATTTTTAAAAAATCATCATGGTGATTCACATAGGTTCCATACTAGAGAATTTTACAAATATTAAATGCCTTAGCTTGTCTGGAAGATCATCTCTTTAATTGCACAACTGTTGAGAGGCCAATTAGCAGGTTTTCCCCCCTAAACAAGGCTAGTCACTAATGTACAATTATAGGTGTGAAACCCCTATCATTAGGTTAGATTTTGAGTTAGTAAATTTGTTTTTACACTACAAGATGTAATTAAAAGGATGGGGGAAAGAGGGTGGAGGTGATGAGGAAAGGTTAAAAGATTTAGAATTGTGTAGTTCAGAAGCAAGAAGATAAGGAATAACAATCATTTATAATAGAAATGAAGGCTACTGAGAGAATTTTGAAATGAAATTCTGTTGTTGATTACTAGGATCTTCAAGAGTCTTCAGAGCAGCCATTGTCATAGGCTGCCATAAGTCGACAACCATCCAAGTCATCTGCTCCCTCATTTCTGACTTTAACCAATGTATCAGCTTGCCTCCTTTTTAACTACAGTTAACCCTTCCACGTCAACAGGGTTAGGGATATAATGCCCCCGCAATCTGGAAAATTCACATAAAGTGTTTTGGCCCTTCCTTCATACCAGAGAAGTCTGAACTATTATGGTTTTAAAAGATAAAATATGTTGACATTATACAATCCTATACGTATGTTTGATGCATTTCTGAGTTTCTAAACTTTTCTGTGTTGTCTGTTGACCTTTGTGTGTCATCTGCAGCTTCTATAAAAGTTCCCAAAAATTCCCATTTAGTTTCTTATGCCTGCCTACAATATATTGAAACCTTGATGGGGAAAGTCACAATGTAGAAGGGATAACTGTAGATACAAGGTGGTCACCTAAACTGTGAAAACTGGCCAGGGTCTGGAATGGCTTCTTAGATAAGATTCAATGAGCAGAAGGTACAAGGGATTATTTTTCCAACTTTAGTCTCGAAAGGATACTGGATATTTCCTGAAGAATGTAATCAACAATCATGATTGATTAAAGTACACTATACCTGCTGATCTATAATGTATATCTGGAAGTGGTTTCCGGAAGGAATTTCTTCCTTTGGCTGTAGCCAACCTCCCATTGTAAGTATTAACCTGACATTAATGGCAGGTGTTTTAGGGATGATTTGTGAAGGATTTCTATGTTCCCCTAAAGGTATATTTGGTAACCAAATAAATCACAATATAATGCTATAATAAGAGCTGACATTTATATAATGCTCCAAGGTTTGCAAAGGTCTACATACATTATTGAACCTATATGTTTATACATAGAAACTCATTAGAACATAGATACTAACACCTCCAACTCCCTCCAGTAACATCTAGCAACTGAGTAGCTGAATTAGTATCAGTTTGGAGAAACCAAACCATTTTAAACATAAAAGTTAAGCTAAAACACTACTGATTCTGTTTGCAGTACCATTCTATCCTAATAATTTTCAAACAGACATTCATGACCTATCTTCTTGTCCCTTCTTTTAACCTATGATTGCAGCTAATAATGGAGATTTTTTAAACAGCACTTCTCTCTGAGGTCTTCCACTATACTTCCTAATATCAGTTTTAATTCAGATTACGTTTTTGTTTTGAAGTTTTCCATGCACACAGATAAAACAAAACATTAAATAGCCCAGAAAACACTGCATCTGGCAATATTCGATTGCTCTCAACTTCCCCTTCCCAGTTCCTCTTGTCACATAAACAGACTGGAAATGATAGAGATACTTAATCTTCCTCTACAACTTTTCTATTAAAAATAAAAAGAAAAGAAAGAAAGTCTAGGTTTTATAATAATAATAGCTGCAGAACAGAAAATATCTTGGTATACACAGGCAGCATTTTTGGTCAAATTAAAAGCAATGCATTTCAAGAGGATATTAAGGAAAGATGGGAAAATGTAGCAGAAATTCAGGTCTCTAGAATCTGGAGATATTCCTCTGAGAAGAACTGCACCTCAGAAATAATAAGTGAAACCAAAAATATAACAGAGCAAATAGCTCATGGAACATTTCAGCTGAAGGTAAGCTTGCTTAGGCCCCTCCCTCACCCTGCCTCACCTCATCATTCTCTCTGGCTCCTCTCCTCTCCCTCTCTCCTGTCCTTCTTCCTCCTTCTTCTTAACTCCTCCTCCTCCTCCTTCTTTTCCTCCTCCTCAATGCTTAACTTCAAGCCTATTCCAGTTAGCTGGGCTGAATGTGACCTCCTAAAGCTGGCAGGGTGAGATTAGACCCAGTGCGGAACTGTGCCAGTTTAATGAGTCCAAGGGACGTAAATGTCACTGTCCTAGCAGGCTCCCGCCAAGTATGCCAAGCCTCTGTGGGCCCTCAGTAACTTCCATTTGCATCCAGTCTCAGCCTCTGCCAATGGCAATAAAAAAGGGCCCTCTCAAAGACACTGCTCTTTCTGTTTACACAAGGCAGTGTGCCTACTGAACTGACATTTCTCCTTTTTTCCTCAGCAAGATTTTTAGCTGCTGATACCTACCCATTCCAGCACCCTTTAAACCGATTCCTGTCTTCCTTTAATGTTCTATGCATAAGGAGTCCTGGGCTTCCATGAAGAGAGTGTATGCCTCACTTTCAAACTACATATGCCAGCTGACCAAGGGTGAGTTGACCTATGCTGGAGTGAAAAATGAAGAACAAGATTATCTGGTCAATTTAGACAGATTGTCAAAGTGGCTCATTGAGGCCCACCAAAAATATACTTTGGGGACTGAATTCTCCAGAGTGGTTGTAAAAGAAGTAGATAATTATTTTTCTCCCAAAGGTCAAATGATCTTCATTCTCATCCAGCTCTAATTAATGGTATACAGTGTAGATTTTCCTAGTTCTTCCTGTCATCCTGATAATTATTTTCTTAGATAAGAGCTAATTAACTATCTGTGTATATATATATATATAATATGTACGTATGTACATTATATGTATATGTATACACACGCATATATACCTTCTATTTGTGTATATGTGTGTGTATGTCCCAGTAACAAAGGTCTTGAAGTGTGACTGTCATGGATGATTTGATAACCCCATGAAGCTTCTAAACTGAGAATAGACTAGTGGCTGATGTCCTCAGCAGGGAAGAATAGTTAACACGTTTGTGAATCAGGGACTTATTTCTATCACTACTGGAAAGGGTGACCATTTGTTTGTTTAAGCGTCGATGCAGTTCAGATATGTCAGATATTGGCAGACATGTCTGCCAATGACTTCTATAAAGCTGTCTCAATTTGAATGAAAAATTATTAGCCTTGAGAGAAGTGTAAATATGCCTCTAATACTTAAGTTGATGGATTGTTTTTCCCTTCCCAAGCCCTTAGCTACTTTTCAGCCCCATACAGATATGGTCACAACCTATAGGCAAAATTGAAGAAACACATTTTTTATATAAAATTCACCAAAGATGAAAAATATTGAAATTCTACTGGGAAAACTGAGTCACCATCTTGGGACATGTGAGCTGTTTTGGAGAGCTGGTTTAGCATATGTAATACTTCCTTATACCCTGTGTTTACTGTGAGGGCCTTGAGTGCATTGAAATCTATAATGTTAATGTTATATGTCTGAGATGTTTGATTATACATACGCAATTGGGCTACATCTGTTGTAAGAGACAAGATAGATGAAGGTTATAGTGTGGAATTGGCACCCACTCCCTTGGAAGATGGAAGAAATGGTAAATTAATTTGAATGATTCAGATATAAGAGGACTGGAGCCTGAGTTAACTGTTCCTCTAATTGAACATATTTTGTCATTTAGAGGATGGTAAGCAGCTTTTCTCTATCTCTCCTGAGGAAAGGAGAAGAAATGTTCTTGGGCTACTGATGACATTGAGGTGTCATACAAAAGGAAATTTTGGAATTGTTAGCATAATAAGTTGACTCCAGAGTAGACTACAGAGGAAAGTGGTGGAACGATCTTTGCTGATTATCCCTAAGCTCAGAATTAGCATCCCTCTATTTGGTACAATTTTAAATATTCTACTTTTATCTGTTACTGATTAGCTTAGTGGGTTAGAGCAAAATAATGACAAAGATAAAGAGATCAAGGTTTGATGGCCCTATGGACCATAGGACCACAATGATCTTTTCAGTTGTTATTGTTGAGTCATTTCAGGTATGCCTGACTCTTTGTGACCCCAATTGGGGTTTTCTTGGCAAAGGTACTGGAGTGTTTTGCCATTTCTTTCTCCAGTTTATTTTGCAGATGAGGAAACTGAGGCAAACAGGAATAAGCGACTTGCCTAGCATTACACAGTTAGTGTCTGAGGCCAAATTTGAACTCAGGTCTTCCTGACTCCAGGCCCAACACTCTATCCATTACTCCACCTAGCTGCTCCTACAATGATCTTAGTCAGCTATATCCGTACCTGGAATCATGACTGAGAATGGATGGATTACATGCTAGTTTTATCTGGGAGTGAGATAAAGAAAAATCAGATTATCCAGCCAAGAAACTATAGGAAATCCACGTGGCCTAGTCATATGAAATTGAAGTAAGTGCCCAAGTCATAACACGTTCTTGTCAATTTCCTCCTTACTCTTGACTTTGAGGAGGTATCCCTCACTGTGGGCTTGCATTTCATGCCTGGCACAACCACAAGGGGTCAGACTTCTATATCTGTCAATGACAATGCTACTACAGATCAAGGAGGACAAATACATTTCTCTCCCTCAACTAACTCGGCAAGCATTTACTTAAGGGTCTACTATGTGCAAGACATCGTGTTAGTCACTGTGAATAAAACATAATCCTCGCCATAGTTACGAGTTACAATTCTTGGATATGTGAATTGCTGGTCAAGCCAACATCATAACCTTACCGTTTCTGGGAGGAATAGGAAATAGGCTTGAGATTTCATTGATATAGGAAACTGCCAGGTAAGGAGATTCCTTCCACTGATGCACATTGATACTTTCTATGCAATTTGTAATCTTAGAGAATTGCTTAGAGCATTGAGACATTAAGTAACTTGACTAGGGTTACACGGCCAGTGAGAGTGAGGGCTTAAAGTCAGGTCTTCTTATCTTCAAAGTCAGCTCTCTTCACTATAAGACACTGCCTTTCTGGGGGCAAAAACAAGTACAAATACTAATTATGCAAAAAGACAAAAGTGAATGATTCTCTCTGGTGATATTTTATATTGATTTTTAGTTACTGTACAATGAGTCTTGCTACGAATAATACATCTTACTGACACTGGCAATTTACACACGCTCACGTCTCATGGTCGAATTTCTGAGCAAAGGGAAAGCATTTTGGAATAGATCTTGTCTTGGAACCCTTTCCAGATCTCCAGATCCGGGATTGTGAGGTTCTCTGTTCTTTCAGTTGCTTAGAGACCTACTGAATAATATGTGTAGTCATTCTAATACACACACACACGCATGTACACATACCCACATGCATACACACATACTGATACACACTGTATATGGATTTCAACACCACTTAAAGTGAACTTCTTGTCCCTTTCTTTTTCCACAGGTTTACATTGATTTCTTATTGAGATATCTTTTCCCTATTAAGCTGCATTGATTATTTCATTTGCAGCATCATTATGTAAAGCCTTTAAGCTAACATGGTAGCCTTGCAAATAGCTTTCTATTTTCTACCCATCTTATAGAATTTGGAGAAAGATCAAATGACATGACATAAAGGAAGTATTTTGTCATCAACAAGGTTGTAGAAATATCAATTTGTCGTCACCACAGCCACCCAAGTTAGTACCAACATTGCCATCCTTCATTTGGCTTCAAAAGTTCGTGTAGTCCCAGAACTGGAAGGGAATACAAGAAATCATCTTTTTTTTTTTTTATTATTCTTGTCTTAAGCTAAAGAAATATCTCAGCCAGGACACAACCTGGGCCCTTCCTACTTTTCTGATCTTCTTACACAGTAGTGCTTTCCTTCAACTCTGCCCTCCAATCAGACTAAGCTAGTCACCCTCCTAGACAAATGGCACTCCATCTCTCATATTCATGCTTTTGTATTGTCTGTCCTCCATGCCTGCTATATACTTCCTCCTCTCTTGTGCCTGATTTCCTTCAAAACTCAGTTTAAGCTCCATCTTTTCCATGAAGCCTTTCATGACCACCCATCCCCCCCCCCAGGCTAGTGGGTAGTGAAGGGTCAGGGGAGGTGGAAATAAGCATTAATTGATATAGTGTCAGGCACTATGCTAAGTGCTTTACAAATATTACCTCATTTCATCCTCAAAAATAATTCTGAGAGGTAGGTTCTAATATTATCTTCATTTTATAGTTGAGGAAACTGAGGCAAACAGAAATTTAAGTGATTTATTTGCCCAGGGTCATCCAGCTAGTAAGTGTCTTCCTGATTCCAGGCTTAAAACATTAACTGCCTCCATCCAAACCACTTTGTATTTATACAGACTTTGTATAAGTTTTAGTGTGGTTTTAAGCCTTACTAGCTTAATATTTTAATTGCTTAAAATTGCACTTAGAATTTTGGGACACCCTTTATGCTTACCTCCATCATTAGAATATAAGCTCCTTGAGGGCAGGGCTATTTCACTGTTGTCTTTCTATCACTAATGATTAACACAGTATCTGGCACAATGCAGGCACTTAATTAATGTTGGTCCACTGATTGATTCTATTCTGGAACATGTTTAGTGACAGTCACCTTCTTTATTTAAGTTCTTTGTGTAGCATTTAATTATACCACTCATCAAGAAGTTCTTATGTAGAACCCATATCTCTCCAGCTACAATTTAAGCTGATTTTCCTCTTGTTCAGTCTTCTGTGAATGTAGAACCAATTAAGCATCTTCTTTAATGTACTTGTAGAAAATGTTTATTTTTTTTTCTCCCCCTTGCCAAATCCTGGTTTATAATGACTCCCCTATCCAGACCTTCCTCCATATTGTCCTACCCCCATCTTAAATGAGGCTCTTATCACCTCACAAGCACATCACTGGTGGAGGCTCTTACTGCTCACCCTTACCATAGTTTTCCCTCCACCAATCACAGTACAATAGTTGATAGTTGATAGGTTAATGGTCCTAAAACTGCTCTTCCATTATATCTCTTTTTTCTTTTTTATAATTTAATTTAATTTGTTTATTTGGCTAGGCAATGGGGTTAAGTGACTTGCCCAGGGTCACACAGCTGGCACATGTTATTTGTCTGAGGCTGGCTTTGAACTCAGGTCCTCCTGACTCCAGGGCCCATGCTCTATCCACTGTGCCACCTAGCTGCCCCCCATATCTCTTTTTTTCAATAAAAAGCCATAATGCTTTCCTGTTGTTTATCATAACTAAAATAAAGAAAAAGTAAAATAATAAAATATATTAATATAATATTATATATAAATATAACATAATATAAAAAGAGACTTATCAATTTTTCATTCATGGATTTCCATAAGGGTATCCTTTACAAAGGATATTGATGAGCTGGAGAGCTTCTCCAGGAAAGCAACAAAAATGATAGACACATCAAACATATGCCACATGAGGATTTGTCAAAGGAATTGAGGATGTTTCACCTGGAGAAGAGGAAACTTGGGCTGGGGGAATGGTCACTGTCTTTAAACATTTCAAGGTCTGTCATGGAGAAGACAGATTAAACTCACTCTGCC